ATTATTATTATTTTTAGAGAGAGCATGAATATAGGGGGAAAGGCAGAGGGAGAGAATCCTAAGGAGGCTCCACTCCATGACCCTGAGATCATGACCTGAGGTGAAATCGAGAGTTGGACGCTTAACTGACTGAGCTAGATCATGGAGTACCTCTTAAAAGAGTATTAGCTATGTAGCACATCTAGTAGTGATTTTGCCAAGTTAGAACTATAGCTTCGAAGGTTTCTTCTTGTATAGTGAGGGATCAGAGCGTGGGGGGAGGGTGATGGGGGGAGTAGTTGGGTTTAGTCTTGAACAGCAAATGTTGGAAGGGTGCTTGGAGGGGGAAATGGTATTTTCAGAATGAGAGACACTGACAAATGTGGAAGGGAGACAACATGGCACCAGGATCTGTCATTAGTCCTGGATGGCTGAGGCGGGGAGGGGGTCCGCTAGGAGGAGTAGCCAAGGGTGATCCTCAAGACCTTCGAGGAACTTCTGTGCCATAGTTTGGAGATCAGGCTTTCTTCTAAGGGGATAAGAAACCATAGAGAGCTTTGAACCAGGGGAGGGGATGGTTAGAATGGCAAAATCCCTTTTTAGAAGGTTCATTTTGATAGCAAAATAGATACTGGATTGAAAACTGGAGGCAAGAAGCTGATTCCTTCTTTTCTTTCCGTCCACCAACCACCCCATCCATCCTTCTCTATCTGTTCACCCAGCCAAGAAGGATTACTCAGTGTTGGTTCTGAGAACATGCTCTGTCATCAGGCCTGCATTTCAAACCCAGTCTTGCCACTTACCTGGCTGGGTGACCCTGGGGGAGTTACTGAATCTGTCAGTAATTCGCTTTATCATCTGAAAAATGGGACAAATAATAATACCCACTAACACTTCACAGATTGGCTGGGGATTTCAATAGGCTATCGCATCATAAACACTTGGCACCGGGCCAGGAACTCATATAAACGTTCAGAAACCTGTATAGCTATTTTTGTTAGCAGGTTGAAGGCACAGACTTGGTTGGGAGTTGTCGTGATACTGGGGACTGGGAAAGCCATGAGGATTGTTACAACTTGGCTGTAATGCTATTCCATCCAGCGGATGTGTACTGAGCACCTACCACTTAGAGAGCCTCCCACTGGGCGTTGTGGGGGCGGGGGGCACAGGTGGGTGCTTCCAAGAGCGTGCCCTGGGCAGAATATGTTAGATGCTCTAGCCAGTTCAGTGGCGGAGGCTTTGAAAAGCTTTTCAGAGAAGGTGGGGTTTGAGATGGGTCTTAAAGGCTGGGTAGGACTCTGGTAGGTAGATAAGGGGGGGTGGGGGGAGTTGGGGGAGGGACCCCTCACACTCAAGTAGTGATAGGTGTGGAAGTCAGGAGGCAGGAGGAGGAGAGTGGGAAGAAAACCGGGGAAGGTTATATAGGACTATACACCAGAGCTCTCAAAGATTGTGTAAGGAGAGACAAAGTACCAGAATACAGTAAGTGTCAAAATAATTTTCCCTTAAGAACTTTTAATTCCATTCTGAGGATTGGAGACTTTAATGTGAATGCTGGGAGGGGGGCAGAAAGATGCTATCAGGTTTGTATTCAGAAAGATTGAATGCCAGAGGTGTGAATGAGCCCAAGAGAGGAAAGGGAGAGAAAGAGACTGCCTGGAAGACCACCTGGGGAGAGGCTCCGCAAGGGGCCCTGGAGGGAGGGGAAGGAAGGGTGGACAAAGAGCTTGCAGCAAATAGAATTGATGGGATCCCAGAGACTGGCTCTTTGCGGGGTGAGATGGAAGGTGTGGGTCTGCAGCTTCAGAGACGGGGAATGAGAATGCTGTGGAGAAGCGGCCGTAGCGGGAAGAGGTTCAGGACCAACGGCAGGCTTGGCTTTCTGTGTGAGGGGCTTGTGAGACGTGGGTTTGGAGGGAGTGTCCCCTCGGCCGCAGATTGCTGGGCTGAAGTGAGCAAGTGATGAGAGCTGGAAGCAGGAGGGGAGGGAGTCTTCTGCTGCAAGGCACAGGTGAAGTCCCGTGAAGCGGGAGATGGTGTGGGCAAGGAAAGACTCACTTTCGGGGAAGGACCACACTTCGGCTAGAGTTAGCAAAGAGAAGCCAGCTCTGAGGCAGGAAGAGGTGTGTGGCATCCGGAAGGGGAGGCGAGATCTTTGGGAGCAGCTCAGATAGATGATCAGTAGCCATAAAAGCACAGAGAATAAAGTGACAAAGGACAGTACAAGTTTATTGACTGACGTTTTGACGGATGTATGGAAGGCCAAAAGTTAGGTCTCCTTGGATGGCTTATGGGGGGTCAGCTAAGAGGAGGCCACTAGGTGTTGAGGGAATCTCAGGGACATTTTGATCATTGAGTGTGAGATTCATGTGGTTTGGGGCAAGTTGGAGTGAGTTTCCTGCAGGTTAGAATTTTTTGGCCCACGCCTTACTGAATCCCTCCTCGACAGACAGCCTGCTCTCCGTGGTGTTGGAGAGTTTGGAGGATAAGGAGATCTCCTTTCATTGCTGTACCTGGAATCACCATGTGTTACGAGGTCCCATTACGGAAGGGAAAAACTGGAGCTGAGCTGTGGGCGTGTTGGGTCTGAGACGGGCGGTGCTAGGCGTTGTCCACACCCTGGTGTGTCCGTGAGCAAACTCATTGAGGTGAGGGGTAGAGTTCCTGGCTGTGCTTCTAGCTAAGTAATGCTAGAAGACAGTTTAATCCTTGGAATACTGGTGACTGTTATGCCCCAATAATGGGTCCGTGATTAATGGAGCGAGACTGATAAAAAGCGAAGGTCAAGCAAAGCTTTATTTTGTGCCAAGCATCAAGAATCTAACCGAATGTTCGGGGACACACCTCTTGCAAAAGAGGGCGACCCTTCTCTGTTTCACAGACTAGCTTTTAAGGGCAAAGGCCATGCGGTCGGGCCTGGCCACGCACAGGTGGCCAATGAGATTGTAACACACACAGGAAACTCCACAGTGATGCTAGGTCACCAATTGAGTTACAACTTACCCTAGTAGACATTTGATTTAGCCTATCACACCTTGGTTAGGATTGGCACCCAAAGGGCGGGGCCCATACTCCTTGGTAACCAGGGAGACAGTATGCATCCCCCCACTGATCGGATGTCTCCACCTGGCCTGACCCACCCTTGTATCTGGGCTTTGTTACCTGAAGCTGGTTTCCGGGACTTGTCTCCAAGTAAATCCCCTGGGGGAAGGGGAGCAGGGACAGTTTCTAAATAGGTCCTTACAGTGACCACCTGAGTCCTCCTTCCGGAGGCGGCCGTGTCCCACCACCCCCTTGCCACCATTCCAAGGCTCTGCTTTTCCATCCCAAGAAAAGGAACATAATTTCCTCTTTCCAGGGTTTGCATCGTGAATGAGTTGGGGCGGGGTCAGAGGATAAAGATGGTGACGGGATGAGAACTCAAAGAGCTTCTTTTTTCTTTTCTTTTCTTTTTTTTTTTTTTTTTAAAGATTTCTTTTATTTACTTGACAGACAGAGATCACAAGTAGGCAGAGAGGCAGGCAGAGAGAGAGAGGGAAGCAGGCTCCCCGCGGAGCAGAGAGCCCGACGCGGGGCCCGATCCCAGGACCCGGGGACCATGACCCGAGCGGAAGGTAGAGGCCTCAACCCACTGAGCCACCCAGGCTCCCCTAGCTTCTTTTTTTCTAAATCAAGGGTATTGTTAGTATTTTAAGTGAGATCTAAAACTTCCATCTGTTTTAGGGTGAAGCAAAGCCTCAGGTCTTTCACGTCTCCACACGTACATGGTTTTCATTGCAAATGGGTCCCATGGGACATCTGAGGTCACAGCTTGATCTTCATGCAAATGACTGTTCCCCACCCTGCACAGCACACCCTTAGGGAAGGCTGGGATGAAGGGGCCCTCACAGCCTTGGATCTGGGCTATTCCAGAAGCCTGGCCCTGCTCTCTGACCACTGAGTGGGTGAGAGAGACCCTGGGCTTCTCATCTGCCCCCTGCCCTTATGCTTTCTTTGGCTTTGCAGTCTCATCCTTGCTTTCCTTCCCTTTTCTCCTCTTTCCCACTTAACCTTGTCCTTGTCCCTGACTTCTCTTGCTCTGTCCTCTCAGACCAAAGCAAACACTTGTTAGAACGTCATAGTATTCAGTTTTCCTCCCCTCTTCTGTCTTCTATCCTTCTCTTCCATCAAGAGCTGAAGCTCAGTATCCAGCAGTAAATACACAGCTTATAAGCCTTGGTGTGCAGGGGTTCAGGACCGTGGGGCATATAAGATGCTTGTTGGAAACACGGTTGGGTGGCGGGCACTCTGGAAGGTGAGAATTCTGCTGTGTTCGTCTTCGCCCTGGGCAGGGGATGCGGAGAGCAGTACGGCTTACAAGGAAGTACTCCGGCGTGCGTGAGTTGCAAGTCAGGAGACCCAGGTTTTGTTTCGAATGCCTCTGCGATCAGAGGACACTTGAGCTCCTCTCTGGGGTGCACGGGCTTCATTTTTAAAAATAGGGATTATGGCACTTGTCATGACTACCTCCGTGGAGGATTGTTTTAAGAAGCTAGCAAATAGAGTGCATGGGACTGCTTTGAAAAGTAGGATTATTCTTGACCATTTTTACAGGCACATATGTGTAGAACAAAATGTCGAAACCGGATCTGCAGTATTAGATGATCTCTCATGCGTCTTTCAGCCCCTAAATTCTGTTTTGGAGACGGCTCTTGGCATGTGATAGGGACTCTGACAATATTTGGATGGATGGACAGACAGATGGTTGGATGGATGGATGAATAGCTAAATGTCTAATTGCCCTACTTACCCCTTCTAGTCCCATTTCCATTTCCCGTTGACACCACCGCCCCCTCCTGGCCAGCAGCAGTATTACGGTGCCGAGACCCCTTAGCCGGGCCCTTCTCTCCCTGTTTCTCCCCAGCCCCAGCCCTGGCTCCCTGAGCTGGCTCCTTGGGACCCGGCTTTGGCCTTCAATCACTGACTGCCTGTCTTTCCTCCTCCCTTCCCACCCCACTCCCTCTCTCCATCTGCCCCTGCAGCACTGCCAGTAACTCAAACCGCAGCACGCCGGCCTGCTCCCCCATCCTCCGCAAACGGTCTCGCTCGCCAACCCCGCAGAGCCCGGACGGAGACACCATGGTGGAGAAGGGCTCCGATCACTCCTCGGACAAGTCCCCGTCCACGCCGGAGCAGGGTGTGCAGCGCAGCTGCTCCTCACAGTCTGGCCGGAGTGGTGGCAAAAATTCCAAGGTGAGCTGGACCTCGCCGGGGCCTCTCCACTTCCTCCTTAGCTGGCAGCAGGGAAGCCAGGGTGGGGGCGGGGGGGGGGGGGGGGGGGGGGCGGCAAGGCAGGGAGCCCTTTCCCCGAGGACCCTTGTGTCAGTGAGGCGAGGGTGGGACAGGCAGGGTTGACCCTAGCTCAGTGTTCTCTTCTCAGCTCAGCCCTCGGAGTGCCCCCGGGGAACTCGTTACAGGATTCCACACTGACTGTTCTCTCTCTTGGGGTGAGGGAGCCTCCTGGACCTTGAGATTTGGAGAAAGGGTGCTCTGGGGACCAGGAGGGACCATCTGTTTAGTCCTGCTTCCTTTTTCAAATTTGGGGTAGAAGGGAACATGATTTGGGACAACAACAGGGCCAGGAAGAGAGTCCTCGGGAAGGGGGATGTCTTTAACATCCACCCTGGCTGTCTCTCTGCCTTACCTTTGGTAATAACCCACTTGGTAGTCCTTTGGCCGGGGGGGCGGTGACCAGGCCTCTCTGTCCCTCCCAAGATGCTGTTGCCTGAGGACCTGGGCCTTTGCCTGAGAATAGGCATAACATAAGCCCCAGGGGGGGTGCCTGGGTCCCCAGAGATTTTCTTATCCCCTCCTCAGTCCTTTGGGAAGCAGGAGATATTCTTTGCCTAGATGCTCCTTCAAAAAGCTTCTGTTTACTGCTGGGCTCCCAGGTCCTGGGGAGGGGAAGGGGCCCCTGGGAGGCACGGGAGCTGGCTTCCCATCTGATTTGTCTTTTGATTTCTTGTTCTTCCTCTTCTTCCCCACCATTTCCCAAATACCTCCTTTGCATGCATGGTCTTAGTCTCACAAGCGCCTCTCAAAAGTAAGCCATCTTTTGTCTCTGTCTTTGGTCTCCCCTCCGGTGTTGAATTGTCTGTAGTGCTCTGCACCCCCTCCCTCCGCCCCCGCCCACTCTGGCCCATGTCTTGCTTGGTCCCTTTCCCAGAAGGGCCGGCCCTACTGCCCCGTGGCAGGCTGGCTTGACGTTACCGAGGGACCATTCCTCTTGCGCCCAGAGTCGGAGAACAGACCCGTCCCCCATCCTCCCCAGTCTCTGCCTGCTCCCCGAACACTACCTTGGGTTGGGAATCTCTTCCCTCCTTACATGGAGCCATCTAGAAGCAGAGTCCTGCCGGGGCTTCCTTCGTTGCTTTGGGGAAGGGAGGCCCCATCCAGAGGGGCTTCAGGTCCTGAGAGCCCCTTGTACCTGCTTTACTGGGTGAGTCCTGATTCCCTGGATGAGAGGACTGAGGGTGACAGATGCCCATAGGGAGTTCCCCGGTGCGGTAGAGTGACCTCAGGAGCTGCACCTGGCACCCTCCTTCCCTCTACCTGCCCACTGCCCAGCCCTATGGCCTCTGGTGTTCTCAGGACCCTGAACTGTGATTAGAGCGGAAATGTTCTCCCAGAAGGGCATGGTGCTAACATCTGACAGTTGGTGGACGTGGATGGTGGCCCCTTCCAGGCCTCACAGCAATGCAGCCGGGTCAGGGAGTCAGTGCTGGAGTCTGCCCGGCCTCCCCGCCGCCTGGACCCCGTCCCCCGGGATCTCAGAGGTCCGAGCAGAACTCAGAGGGAGTACAGCTAGAGCAATAGGTATTTTAGAACAGCAAGGCTCAGGAAATAATCCCCACGGGAGAAAGGAGGTGGGATGTCGCCCGGAGAAGAAAAAGCAGAGGAATGACTTAATAATAGTGTTTTAGGGAGGAAGAGGAGGGCGGACAGCTGTTCTCTTTCCCGAGAGAAGAACAAGAGACTTCAGGGCTAATCCTAGAGTCTGTGACCTTCAGGCTAAAAGCTTGCCTCCGAGGACTTGAGACGGTGGCTGCTTGCTCTAGGGAGGGGGAGAGGAGCTCTGCCCAGTGTGAGGGAGTTCTCTGTGCAGCCAGCACGCACACACCCCCGGCCCCTCAGCCCTCTGGCTGGGGAGAGTACCTGTGTGGTCCAGACACACGCATTGGGTTGTTCCATCTCTCTGGTCGTGCCTACGGACTTTGCACACTTTTCCATCCCAAGGTGAAGCTACAGGCTTCTTGCCCTCTTACCCCCATGCCTAGCAAGGCACTCAGTGGCCGAGGCAAACCTTACCGATGGCCGGCAGTCCCCACCCACAGGGGGCCGGTGCCACTTCAGCCAGGTGCTGGGTGGAGGCGAGCACTCGGTAAGGAGAATTTTTAAACCTCTCCTGCTGAATGGCAGCTCTTCTCTGGGAAGCAAGCGTAGAGACCAGTTACCTGCCCTGGGCAGCGCACAGTCTAGGAGGGGAGAGAAGACACATGCCTAGGTTGTCCGCAAACCAAACCTGGCTGTTAGAAGCCAGGCTGGGGCCCTGAGAGGCAAAATGAGGCATAAAGAAGGGACCACGAGCTGAGGGTGAATTCCAAGTGAATTGTGCCCCCCCCCTTTCATAAGGAGGTGATGGGGCAGGGGGAGAAGGTGAGGGGGGCTGGGTTTTATTTTCCCTTTGAAGAGCTCAGGGGAGGCAGACACATAGTCTGGGAGTCCCCTGGTTTGGAGAGCTACAGAGGTGAGGTGGGGATACCCCTCCCACCACCCTCTGGGTAGATGCTTGTCTCAGGTTGACCAAACCTGTCCATGGCAAGGGAAGTGGTAGCCAGAGCGGCCGTTGCTACCCCGCCAGGCCACCTACCTCAGTACCTCCCATCCACCTCACAGAGGAGGAGACCTCCTGTGTTTTCCAGGCAAGCAGGAGAGGGTTCCTCCTTGTCCCTGGAGCCAAGGTGTCCTGCTGTATCTGCCTCCCCTCCCCAGGGCCTCCATTTCCTCGTGTTAATCTGTAGGGGATCAGTAAGGCCCCACACCTGTGAATCTGTAACTAGACTGCGGAGGCTGACCCTTCCTGGGTGCAGCAGCCCTGCCCAGAGCAGCGGGCTAGAAGATGGTCATGGCTTCTTTCCTCTTCCCTGAAACCCCTTGAGTTCCTGCCACCACCCACCTTCTGCTCTGTAGTGCTGGCTTGAGGCCACTAGGGGGAGCTGGCGGCCGCTATGTGTGGCCAGGAGTTCCTGCTCTAGGTTGGCCCTTGCAGAGGTCCCCCCGAGAACCTGGGTCCCAGGCTGGTTGAGCTGTGTTATCCCGGCTCAGTGGCTTTGCAGCTCCTCTCCCCTTGACTTTTGACTTGTCTTTCAATTCTAATTTCTGTGGCTTTCTTTCCAGTATGACAGACTTAACCTGATCAAAGTAAGAAGTCTCTCTTATTTCTGACCTCCTATAAGTAGAGCTCCTCTCTCCCCCTCCTCTGGTCCCCCTGTCCCCATCTTCCCAACTCCAGGAGCCTTTGCACTGGGGAGATGTTTTTAGGGAACATGGGTCTGTCTCTAGGGGCCTTGCATTCCTTTAGTGCTCGTTCTTGAGACCCCTTCTAGGAGGTGATAGAAATGTGTTCCACTCTGTCTTTGAGTACTTTCCCTGACGCCCTCCCCTTTCTAGCCAAATCCATGTATGACCTGTCGCAAAAGCCTTCACCTCCATGCCTAGTTCTGTTTTTCCCCACGCTTCTGACCTTCTCTGCAGAGGAGGGGCATTTCAGGGAACCTGCAAGGGCAGACAGCCTAACTCATGCCAGGGGACACCTCTGTTCTCGCTGCACCGGGGCCTGGAAGCTCCCTCTGGTTTCCCTGCCCCCCCTGAGCTGGGCACTCAGCCCTGGGAGAGCAAAGCCACGAGGGTAGAATTTGCCTCCAGGAGGCTGGTCAGAGTTCAGAGACCCGTGCCCACAGTGGGTGTTCTCAGGAGCTACTATGGATCGGGGTGGGGGAGGCATTTTCCCCAGAGGTACTCCCAGTGTGCCTGGAGATGGCTGGTTGGGGTAGAGTCTCACGCTGAGGGAGAAGACAGAAGTCCTCGCTTTTGATGGTACATTTCACATTTCAGTACTTGGGAGCACAAATTCTTCTCCCCCCACCCCTTTCCAGAAGAGCAAATATCACACACAAAGGTGTCACACAGAGATGGGACATGGGTTCTGTGGTCAAGGCTTTTTGTCATTCTGAAGCCCTTTGTTCGAAGCAGATTGAGAAAGCACACATAGCCGTGTGGCAGTACAGGAAGAAAAAAAATCCACTTCTGTACCTTAGGCAGGAGCGAGAACACCACATAGGAATAATCGTAAAGGTTCTTGGGTCCCCACTCCCAGCCCAAGTTCATTCCCATTCCCCCTTCCCTCCTGGGGTCTTCTGTGAAAGCCAGGACAGTGGGGTAAGGAGCCAGGGGGCAGGTGACAGAGCATTTTCTCAACTGTGAAGCAGGTGTCTGAGGGCCTGGCTTTGGGTTGATGAAGTGCTGGGACCTGAGGGGCCATGGAGGCTGACGGCACCTCTCCACTGCTGGGGGATGGGGCTCAGGGAATGCCTGCACAGCCTCGTGCCATGTGATCTCAGGGCGGGCCCCAGGAGCGAAGACCTCCGAAGGCACAGGTCAGGGCAGACGCAGCCTGTGCCCCATCCCTCTCCTCCAGGTACGGGTGGCCTTTGCCAGATGTTTGCAGGCGAAGACTGTGACTGTAGCTCCCTCAGCAGGGCAACAGTTGGTTGTAAGTAGTCAGATGGGGCCCCTTTCCCCGCTAAGACCTCTGGATTAGAGGAGAGGGTAAGGCCGTGGTTTGAGCATGTGGCTTGCAGATGGGCCATAGTGACAGCCTTTGTTGGGAAGCGACTATGGGGAGAGCATCTAGAGAGTTCTTCTGGTGGAGAGAGAGAGAGCTGGCGAAGGGGGAGGTCGCATGACCATGCTTTAGTCACCCGCCCTCCACCCCCACCAGAGACATTCCCAGTAGACATTCTGAGCCCGTGACTGACCTTTCTTTCCCTTACGAGTCTGGACCTGTTAGACAAGGTGGGGGGAGGATGAAGGTTGCAGTTGGGCCCAGAATCCCCACCTCTGTGTAGTGGTTGACATGCAGGCACAGTTTCCCCGACCTAGTGATTCTCGCTGCAGTTAATGCCTTTGGCAAGCTTCTTAGTACCGAAAATACTCCATCTCCAGTCTAAACCTGTTGGGTCAGCACCTCAAGGGTTGGGGCCCAGCAGCTCTGTGTGTGTGTGTGTGTGTGTGTGTGTGTGCGCGCGCGCGCGTGTGCGTGCACGCACACGTGCGCTCCTATCTGCCTGCCTGTCTGTCTTCCAAGCGGGGTGTGCATAAAGGACTCCTGGCCATAGAGATTGGAGGTAGACAGAGCACAGTATCAGCCACGCCTCTCAGTTGCCATGAAAACGAGTCACCTTTGCCCAGGGCCGGGAGCCGAGAGCACCTGGATTCTGGACCTGGCCCGGAGTCTTGATTTTGTGGGTAACAGAATGACAGCACCTCGAAGCTGGGAGGCACCATTAGCAATGATGAGTTTCGACCTTCCTCCCAGGGCAGAACCCCTGGTACTCCCCAGCCTCTCTCACCTCATCGGCCAGTTGTGGAGTGGAAGGAGAAATGGCCTCCTCTGCTCCCCGAGAACGTAGCTGGAAGAGGTTTCCAGGCAGCCCCTTCTCTTCCTTTCCCCGAAGGGTCCCCTCCTGCCTTGCGCAGAGGGGCTGACTTGGGGCGGAAGGCTGGGTTGGTCTCCGTCTGCACTTTGCTTCTGGTCAGGGCCCATCTGGGGACTGGGTCTCGGATGCCTGCCGCGCATCCTCCCCCCCCCCCCCCATCAGAGAAGCTCGTGATGGGGCTCCGACTCCCTGCCAGCTGAGCTCTGGCTGGTGCTGCCGCTGCCTGCCGCCCCGACCTTGCTGAGGCTTCCAGCATGGACCTGCCCTGGGCCTCCTTTCTGGATCTGTCTTGAGAAAGGAGGACCCCTCTCGAGCAGCCACCTGGGAAGCATTCAGCTGCATTGGGGTTCCTCTTCCCTGCCCGCCCTCTGCTGTCTGTGTAACCTTCCCTCAGGAGGCCGGGCCTACCCTGGCCATTCCCGCTATCTCTTCCCTGACTAATGGTACCTTCTCTTATTTTGTCCTTTCAGAAAAGCCAGAGTTGGTATAATGTAAGTATCCCTGTTTCTCTTCTGGTCGTGTGCATGGGAAGCGGGGGTGTGGGGGGAGGGTGGGAGCGGTCGGAAGGGAGAGGGGTGGAGTGCGGTTGGGCTGCCCCAGGGGCTTGAGCCAGCTGATGGGCTCCCTGGCTGGCCCCCGCCCCTAAAGACCAAACACGCTGGTTATCCTCTCTGCAGCAGGACAGGACTGCTGGTGATGGAGGCTTTGATTCAGGACAGACCAAGGAGGGATGGCCCTCCTTATCCTCCCTTACACTTGTGGACAGGGCTCCTCCAGCCCCAGTGGAGGGGACCAGGCGGGGGAGGCATCCAAAGACCACACGAATTCTGGGATGGGGACAGCTCCGGGGCCTAAACTTAGGACCAAGGCTTCCTTCCCTTAGTTAAGACATTTTGGGGAAAATGCAGCCAGACTTTTCTCTGATAGTAGAGAGGCCATTCCATGTAATGGAATTTGACCTCTGCCCCAAGGCCCACCTCAGCTAGCCCAAGAGGCGTGTGCCTTCTAGAAGACAACCACTGCTCTTGGGTCTGTCGTGCAGGTGTAGCGTGGGGTCGTCCGTGGTGGCGGCTCACCCAGCCACTCCGTAGCCAGAACTAATGTTGTGGACTAAGCCGTCCCGTCCAGGACCACAGCCCCCACTACACAGACTGGGCGGCAGCTTTTTGAACCCCCCACCCCCACCCAGAGAGCAGCTGACTGAGGTCTCAGCCATCCGGCCACACTGTACTCTGCCCTCTGGGTCTGGGCCGCAGAGGGCCTGGCCTCAGGCCGCCGTCGTTCCCGCCCAGGGCCTGGCTCCCCACACTTGGTCTGCTTAATCATGCAGGTACCACTGCCCACTGCCCCTGGCCAGGCTGTACCCCAGGGGGCCTCATGGGCATGTGGAAGGAGTGGGGGAGAAGGTAGCTGGGAGCGAGGGGGGCTGTGCATGCCTGGGGGGGGGAGGGGAGGCTTGCATTTCATGTAGGGGCTTGTTTCTGATCCTAGGGGTGGGGTGGGGTGGGGTGGGGGGATATTTTCACACACGGCTCAGGGATGCCTGGTCAGCCCTGTGGCTTCTGACCTCTTGCTGCTCAGCGGCCCTGCCTGTCCCTGGGGAGCTCTGCCCACCGAGCCCGGCGCCCCCGAGGTGGAGGCTGGAGGGCTGCACTGACGGGGTTGAGCTGTGGGCTGAGGTGGGCTGAGGTGGCCTGTGTCGAGGAGAAGCCAGACGACGCCCCCTCGTTCCCCAGCCCTTCCCTTTGGACCTGCCGTGGTCTTCAGCCCCCGCGCCGCCGCTTAGAGCTCAAATCCTGGAGGCAACAGAAGCTGCTTCTGTGAGGGAGGAGTGGGGGGGGCCACTTTCTTGGGAGGCATGTGGGGCCTCCAGCATCCTTTGCCTGACAAAGCCTCCACCACTCTGAGCGGCATTGCAAAATTAGTGCCCCAGAGGGAACAGGAAACAGGTGGCTGCAGACATGTTAGACCTTTGAAACAGCCAAATCTGGACCTGCAGGTCCCCCCACCCCCTTGTCGCTCTCTTTCTGTCAGTCAGGCTCTTCTGTTCCAGCTCTTTCCCTTTCCTTGACTCCATGCCCTTTGTCTTTGGCTCCTCCGCTCCTTTCTCTGATTTCCATTCTGGGATTGGCTCCCCCTCCCTCTCTGCTACCAGCCAGCAGGTTTTCCTTCCCCTCCGTGGCTTCCCCATTCCGTCACCTCGGGGCCTCCCTCCGCCCCCACAGGCCCAGCGGGCCCCTGAGCCCTCGCAGAGTGAGGAATAGGAATGGATGCCAGTCACCGCAAGGGCCCAGAACTCAGGGGCTCTGGTGACACATAAGGGGGAGACGGCAGAGGAGCTGAGAGTGGTCAGACCCGCTTCCTGCCTGAGCCCGGCAGCTGGAGACCCTCCCTGATTGCGCAATGGGCCCCCATGCAAGGTCGTCTCCCAGGCCTTCCTGGGACTCACAGATGGTCAGTGTCTCCTCCAGCCTCCCGTCCCTCGCCCCAAATAAATTACAGAAGCATGACAGACTCCCCACTTGGCACAAATCATTAACTCATAGAGGCCAAGTGCACAAGGGACTAAATGCCCCTAACCGCCCCCTCTCTGGGACGTGTGCTCTCGCTTTGGGGCGTCTTGCAGACTCCAGGCAGCCCATCCAGAGATGTCTTCTTGTGGCTCCCTTTTCCTTGGCTGTGTTTCCACGTTGCAGGCAGATCTGGCTCCTTCCATGTGCCCGGGTCCTGCTCTGCTTCCTCGGTGGAAGCCTGGGGCGGGCAGGGACGGGTTGCAGAACGGAGTGATGTGGAGGAGGGGCAGGGAAATGGTAGGGAGACTCTGGGAGGCCGAGAGGGGACAGGGGGGACCTCCAGCCAGCCTAAGCTGCAGGAGGGAAAGGAGCAGCTGCTGTGTCAGGGAGAGCCCTAGAAGGGCTGGCTTCATGCAGCCCCGGGCTGCTGCTCCTGCAAAAACCCTGCTCTCTCCCTGAGACCGAGACGATACCCTGGCTCTGGACTGCCAGCTTCTGGGTGTCTGTGGAGGAAGCAAGGTGCTACCTGCCCCACACAGCTAGTGTCACCCCATCTCTGCCCGCTTGGATCTTGTCAGCGGGCCTATCTGCAGCACGGGACTGAGTGTGGTCGTTCCCCTAGGCACTGTTGTCCTGCCCTGATCAGGAAGCTACCACCTGGGGGTTTCCCCAGAGCCACGTGACTCGGGGCCCATGGTGTGGGATACCCGCAGTCTTCCCAGCGCTTGCACCCTTGAGGGGCTGACACCCCCCTGCCGTGCGCCGTATGTGTCTGTGCTCTTGAGAGCACAAGCCTCAGGCTCCCTAGCACTGCCTTCCAATAATACATCCACAGTTTTCCAGAAGGCACTTAACTTGGCCTTTGTGTTGCCCCATCTCCCCTTCTCCATGCTGCCAACAGCCCTCTTTGACACTCAGGGGAGCACTGTAGCTGGGTTGCTGCTTAGGGGGCCATCCTTATGTGGATAGGCAAAGGCTTTGTCATCCCAGCTCCGGGACAGTCACATGTGCCCTGGTCAGCTTCCGGACCGGGCATCCTCGTGGAGCTGCTGACCATTGAGAGAACATCTGGGGTTGTTGAGTAGCTTGGGTCTGCTAGGAAGGAGGCTCACCCAGCATTTCCCCAGCCCCTTCCTTTACCTTCCTCTCTTCCACATTTTACTTTTCCCCCCGCCTCTGATACTTGTGTTTATTTTTCTTGCCAGAATAACACAAAGCATAGGGATAATGAGCAGACTTCTGTAATTTCCTGGGGCAAGATTCCACTATTCTACTTTCAAAGGTGGTATTTATGATAAATATTCACTAATTTATTTATTTTTACTTTTTTTTTTTTTAAAGATTTTATTTATTTATTTGACGGACAGAGATCACAAGTAGGCAGAGAGGCAGGCAGAGAGAGAGAGAGGAGGAGGAAAGCTCCCCGCGGAGCAGAGAGCCCGATGTGGGACTCGATCCCAGGACCCTGGGATCGTGACCTGAGCCGAAGGCAGAGGCTTTAACCCACTGAGCCACCCAGGCGCCCCTTATTTTTACATTTTTTAATTTAAATTCACTATAATTAACATACATCTGCATTGTTAGTTTCAGAGGCAGAATTCAGGGATTCGTCAGTTGCATGCAACACTCAGCGCTCAGTCCATCACGTGCCCTCATCCATGTCCATCACCCAGTTACCCTGTCCCCTCAGCCTCCTCCCCTCCAGCAGCTCTCAGTTTGTTTCCTAGAGTTGAGAATCTCTTATGGTTTCTCTCCCTCTCTGATTTCATCTTATTTTAGTTTTCCTTCCCTTCCCCTATGTTCATCTGTTTTGTTTCTTAAATTCCACAGAGTGAAGTCATACGGTGTTTGTCTTTCCAACTGACTTCTATAGCTTAGCATCGTGACCCTCTAGTTCCATCCACATCATTGCCAATGACGAGACGTCATTCTCTGTGATGGCTGCGTACTGTTCCATTGTGTATCGATACCACATCTTCATTATCCATTCATCTGTCAATGGACAGATGTCTGGGCTCTTTCCATAGTTTGGCTTTTGTGGACGTGGCTGCTATAAACATTGGGGTGCACGTGCCCCTTCAAATCACTGTGTTTATATCCTTTGGGTAAAAACCCAGTAGAGCAGTTGCTTGGTTGTAGGGTAGCTCTATTTTAACTTGTGGAGGAACTTCTGTCCTGTGTTGTGGACTGGCTGCACCAGCTTGCATCCCCCCCAGCAGTGGAAGAGGGTTCCGCTTTCCCCGCCAACATCTGTCAAGGTTTCCTGACTTGTTAATTTTAGCCATTCTGACTGGTGTGAGCTGCCATCTCGTTGTTCCACATTTTACTTTCACCTAACCCGGCCCGGGGTGAGCTGTCACCATGATGGCAGACCACTCTGGCCTGAAGAGCGGGGACCGTGGAGGGAAGTGGCTGGACTCCAGGGACACGCAGAAAGGCTAAAGCATGAGAGCTTCTCGTCTCTAGCCAGAGATATGCTATGCAGGTCAAGTAGGGTGTGAAGGGCGCGTGGGTGGCCCAGTGGGTTAAGCCTCTGTCTTCGGCTCACGTCATGATCCCAGGGTCCTGGGATCGAGCCCCGCATCGGGCTCTCTGCTCAGCAGGGAGCCTGCTTCCCCCACCCTTCTCTGCCTGTCTCTCTGCCTGCTTATGATCTCTGTCTGTCAGATGAATAAATAAAATCTTAAAAAAAAAAAAAAAGAGTAGGCTGTGAAGGCAGGGCAAGCTACAACTGCCTTAAGGCCTTCTCAGGCTTGATTATATCCATGCCCCCTTACGTTTGTGTCCCCCCGCCAACTTACTTGATGATCCCAGCTTTTTTTTTTTTTTTAAAGATTTTATTTATTTATTTGACAGACAGAGATCACAAGTAGGCAGAAAGAGAGGAGGAAGCAGGCTCCTCACTGAGCAGAGAGCCCGATGCGGGACTCGATCCCAGCACCCTGAGCTCATGAGCTGAGCCGAAGGCAGTGGCTTAA